TGCTTCTGGTAACTTATTTCTGCTAATGCAAGTTTGTTATGCTACTTTCAGCCCATTTTTTGCTAAATTTATCTATTTCTGCAAATTTAACTAATATTAGCTGCTTTTATGTTAATTTCACTTTTTCCTGCTAATTCCACATTTTTTTAATCATTTCAACTTTTTTCAGATTAATTCAGCATTTCTATGCTCTACCCACTTCCGTCAGGTAAATTAAGTTTCTTTCTGCTTGTTTTAGCTACTATTCAGCTGTTTTTTTGGCACATTTCAGCTTTTCTAAGACAATTTCGACTTTATTGTGCTAATTTATACCTCTGTCAGCCTTAGTGGGTACATTGCTGCACATTTCAGTTCCTTCTGGTAATTTAAGCTTTCTGCTTGTTTTAGCTGTTATTCAGCTGTTTTTGGCAAATTTCAGCTTTTCTCAGATATTTTCAACTTTATTGTGCTAATTTATACCTCTTTCAGCCTTAGTGGGCACGCTTTAGCTCCCTCTACTTCCTTGTTAAAATTTAAGCTTCTTTCTACATATTTTTAGCTACTATTCAGCTGTTTTATAGAAAAACTAGGATAACTCTACCATTTTTAGAGCTATTCAGCTGAAATTTGGCGTATTGGTAGCTGAGAACAGTCCCTAATAGACTCTGACTGCAAATAAAAACTTCAAGATGGCCACCTTAGCAAAAACAGGAAAAATACTATAAATCAGAACATTTTAGTCACATCGAGCTGAAAGTTGGTGTGATGATAGTGTTTCCCATCAAATGCTACACGGAAATCAAAAATCCAAGATGGCCACCAACACTACTTTTGAACGGATTTAACTCAGCCATTTTTACACATACAGAGCTGAAATTTGGTGAGGTTATAGCTGAGAACGTTCCCTATCACATACTGCGTCCAAATAAAAAAGTCCAAGATGGCCACCTTAGCTAAAAAAGAAAAAAATATGATAACTCAGGTATTTTTAGAGCTAGACAGCTGAAATTTGGTGTAGTGGTAGCTGAGAGCAAACCCAAACACACAGTATGTCAGATCAGCAGTTTATATCAGCAGCAGCCTGGCAGTCCATTACATTAGGAATAATAGTGCACGTTCTGCTTCTTTCTGCTGTTTTAAGCTGCTTTTCAACCGTTTTCTTGACGTTCGTAAGCAAGAAGCATTCACACTTGTATTTTCACAGGAAATACAAATTCTACAGCTTTTCTTTGCTTGTTGCCTTCATTTGAAGTCATTTATGAACATTTTTCTGTTTTTACTACACGTTTAGGTACTTTCTATGATGAAATAAAAAAAAGGATTCAGATGTTTTATAGGTTAAATAAGTCAAGTCAACTTTATTTATAGAGCACATTTAAAACAGAACATGCTATCAAAGTGCTTAACAACAACAACAATGAGTAAAATTAAAGAGAAAAAATATATTTATATACAATACACTTATGATAATAACTGAAGAATTTATAAAAAACATTTAAAACATAGGGTTACAGATAAAAAAAACACTAGAT